ATACATTAACAATCTTTTCACAAAAGTCAGAGAATATAGCAGTTATACATCTTTAAAAGGTAGCAGGTGCATTGCATAAGCCAAAAGGCATACGTCTATAAGCAAAGGTACCGAAAGAGCAAGTAAAAGTTGTCTTTTCTTGATCCTCTTTTGACACAGGTATTTGAGAGAAAGCAGAATAACCATCTAGAAAGCAAAAATGTGTATGTTTGGGTAATCTTTCTAGAATTTGATTAATAAAAGGTAAAGGGTAATGATCCTTTTTAGTAGCTTTATTTAACTTGCGGAAATCAATTACCATTTTATAACCTGTAACAATTCTTTGTGAGACCAATTCATCTTTATCATTAGAAACAACAGTAATACCTCCCTTCTTAGGGACATAATAAACAAGACTTACCCACTGACTATCAGCAACGGGATAAATTATACCTGCCTCTAGAAACTTTAGTATTTTCCTTTCTTACCACTTCTTTCAACTTAGGGTTTAACCGTCGTTGGTGATCAACAACCGGTTTCGCATCCTTCTCCAATTTTATTTTGTGCTGGCATAGAGTGACACTAATGCCCTTAAAACCATCAAAAGTATATCCAATAGCAGCACGATGCTTCTTCAGAGTTTTCAATAATTTCTTTTCCTCAAGCTCTGAAAGGTTAGCACTAAGAATAACAGGATAGATCTTTTTCTCATCAAGATAATCATATTTAAGAGTATCATGTAAAGGTTTAAGCTCAAACACGGGATCACCTTTGGATGGAGGAGGATCCCCTAGAATTTCAGCATGCAAGTTGTGTTTCAAAATAGGTCCCTGTATAAATAATACTTCATCTATTTCCCTTCTTTCATTCATAACATATCATTTCATGGTCTAGCAAATATTGTTCTAAAGGATTGTTAGGAGGCACGGCAATAGAAGCAAGACCAATAATTACATCTTCACTAGGCAATTCTTTATCATGGAGTTGTCTACGAAATTTAGCAAAATTAAACTCATGAGACATATCCCCCAAACCAATAGTAACTACATCATTTTTGCAGTCTATCTTAACATTAACAGTATTTAAGAAAGGTCTGTCAAATATAATTGGACAAAAGTCATCTTGTGGGGAATCAAGAACATGAAAATCAACAAGATATTTAACTTTCCCACACAAGACTTCAACATCTCTAACAATCTCAACTGGTGAAATAGTGTCTCTATTGGCAAGCTTAATTGTAACATCAATTTCCTCTATCTCAGCAGGTGCAATATCATGCATAATTTTTTTATATAAGGAATGACGTATTGCACTTGCACTAGCACCCATATCACATAAGCCATGATAGCAATGATCTCCTATTTTAACAGAAATAACAGGCATGCCTACAACAGGTCTATATTTATTCTTAGTATCGGGTCTAGCAATTCTAGCAGCTTCATCACAGAAGTAAATAACATGCCTATCAATATTATCGGACAAGAGATCTTTAACCATAGCAAAACTAGGTTCAACTTTAATTTGATCAGAGAGAGTAGATGTTCTACGAACCACAGTTGAAGCTTTAGCATGATCCTTTATTCTAGCAGGGAAGGATGGTTTCACAATAAAAGCAGTAGGAACAATAGAATCATTATAAATGATAATCTTTTCTTCAACTTTAATAGATGCAACTACTTTTACTTTAATGGGAGGATTATATTTAAACCACTTTTTCTTAGGGAAATCAACATGAGTAGCAAATGATTCACAGAAAGAAGCTACTATCTCAAAGTCAAGTTCATATTTGTGTTAAATTCACGGAAACCATCAGTATCCATAAAAGATTTAACACAATCAAACTTAGGTGTTATACCTGACTCCTTACCTTCGTTGAGATCCTAATCTTCAGAGTTGCGCTTAATTCTTTTCAATAAATCACATTTAAATTCAATAGTTTTCATCATAAAAGAGCCAGTGCAAGAAGTATCGAGCATGGAGCAATTATCGAGAGAAAGCTGAGCATAAAAATTTTGAATAATAATTTTTCTTAAGAGCTCATGATTGGGGCACGAATATAGCATTGATTTAAGCCTTCCCCCAAGCTTGAGCGATATTTTTTCCTTCGTAAGGCCAAAATATATATATATAATTACAGTCACGATGAACAAGATGCATAGACTAAAATTTCTGATGAAATTTCAATTTCAATCGGTAGTAGTCCCATGATCCCATATCATCACATAGCCTAAACCATGCCAATACCTTTCCCTTTAAAGATAAAGGAAAATCTTCTTCTTAATAACATCCTTGCGCATACCCACAAGCTTAAATAATCCACAAACTTCATTCACATATATTAGGTGCAAATCGGGATATAATATTCCATCTCCTGTAAAAGGATTAGCTAGTCGTTTCTCTATCATACCCGAAGAAATTTCAAAGTAAACATTTTTAGTAGGTTCAGTAGGTTGAGGAGCAACTCTTTGCTCTACTAGTCGGGGTGAAGAGACCCCGAATAAGCCCCTCAAAGTATTATGTTCTATATTAACAAGTGACAGTAAATTTCAGCATACTATATACATTTTTCCTTACCAAATTCCACTCACCAAAGACGCTTCACTCCTCGGCAACGGCGTCAGAAAAGAGGCTTAATGACCCACAAGTATAGGGGATCTATCGTAGTCGTTTTGATAAGTAAGTGTGTCGAATCCAACAAGGAGCAGAAGGAAATGATAAGCAATTTTCAGCAAGATATTCTCTGCAAGCACTGAAATTATCGGTAACAGATAATTTTGTGATGAGGTAATTTGTAACGGGTAACAAATAGTAAAAGTAAATAAGATGCAGCAAAATGATCCAATCTTTTTTTAGCAAAGAACAAGTCTAGACAAACTCTTATATGAAGGAAAACGCTCATAAGGACACATAAAAATTATCGTCAAGCTAGTTTTCATTATCCTCATATGATTCGCGTTTGATACTTTAAAAATTTAATATGTGGGTGGACCGGTGTTTGAGTACCGCCCTTCCTTGGACAAGCATCTCACTTATGATTAATCCCTATTGCAAGCATCCACAACTACAAAAGAAGTATTAAGGTAAACATAATCATAGCATGAAATATATGGATCTAAATCAATCCCTTACGAAGCAACTCATAAACTTGGGTTTAAACTTCTATCACTTTAGCAACCCATCATCTACTTATTACTTCTCAATGCCTTGCTATAAACTCAAACAATGGTGAAGTGTTATATAGTCGACGTTCACATGACACCACTAGAGAAAAGACAACACACATCTCATCAAAATATCAAACGAATACCAAATTCATATGACTACTTATAGCAAAACTTCTCCTATGTCCTCAGGAACAAACGTAAGTACTCACAAATCATATTCATGTTCATAATCAGAAGAGTATTAATATGCATAAAGGATTTAAACATATGATTTTCCACCGAATAAACCAACTAACATCAACTACAAGGAATAATCAACACTACTAACAATCGACATCTACCAATCTAAGGCTTTGGGACAAAGATTAGATACAAGAGATGAACTAAAGTTTGAGACAAAATGGTGCTGATGAAGAAGTTGGTGGAGATTGACCCCGATTGTTGGTGATGACGATGATGATGATTTCCCCCTCCCAAAGAAAAGTTTTCCCGACAGAACAGCTCTGCCGGAGCCTTAGATTGATTCTGTCAAGGTTTCACCTTATGGCGGCGAAGTTTCGTTCCGTGAGCTTGCTTATGATTTTTTTCTCGATAAAAGACTCCATATAGTCAAAAGGCTGCCAAGGGGACCACGAGGCACGGGGGCACGCCCAGGGATGTAGGGCACACCCCCACCCTCGTGGATGGTGGGTGGCCCTCTCTGATACTTTTTTCCCCAATATTTTTTATATATTCTAAAACTTACTCCCATGAAGTTTCAAAACTTTTGAAATTATGCAGAATAGGTCTCTAATATTTACTTCTTTTCCAGCCTAAAATTCTAACTGTCAGCATTCTCCCTCTTTATATAAACCTTGTAAAATAAGAGCATCATCATTAATGGCTAGCACACCATTAATGTGTCATCTACCTAATTAAGCATCATCCCAAGTAGCGTCCCTCATCGTTAAATCCTAATCAAGCATAATTTTTTGTAAGCATCATTTTCTTTTACGCGGAACAATTTATTATCTGTTGGACAATTTAAAATGAATTTACACATTCTGCTTTACCAAAACTTAAAACTATCATGAGTGAATATTCTTCTAGAATAGACTTGATTTCTTATAATAATACACTTACAATGGTGTGCACCAAATAAAATGATTAAAATGAAGCATTTCCTAGTGGTAAGCGTGAAATAAACATAGCAAATCAAACTATAGAAATTTCAGATTTATTGAAGCCTAACATTTAAAATCTGGCAAAAAAATAATATTCTAAAATTTAAGAGCATATTTAATACTACGCATAGAAAAAATAATTGTTTTTATGTTTCCCTAAAATAAGTCTCCCATGAACACATTGGTTGAGTGAGCAGGAAGACAGAGTGCAAACTTATATCCACAGTAACTGGTCCCTTTCATCCATTTTGAATAGACCAACTATGAAAACTTACTTGATTCATTCTCGCCAGAATTCACTCACCTGATAATCAACCATGTCCTGCAGTGTCCCAAAAAAGGTAGATGGTCTAGAAGTTCAAATAATCAAGTTTTTAAAGAAAATGTATTTTACATAAATGAAAAGAGTAGCGACAGCTAAAGTATCTCGAGGGAATGGGAAAATGGCAATAAACACAAGAAACAAAGCCGAAAAAAATTGAAAAACAGTAAGCCTGCCTACATAGATGAGATGGTAGTAAACACAGGAAACAAACACAAAAACACAGTGAAAAATAGTAAGCCTACCTGCATAGATGAGATGGCAGTGTCTTATGATGGTAGTTGTATGAGTATTACACTGACCAATTTAATTAGCAAAATAATCATTTGTGTGCATATATCTTGATCTTCTAGACCTTTTGGTGTGGTGCGATCAAAGTGCCACCAGGGCAAATCCAAGATTAACTGATGTAGCTATGACATGGGTGATTCTCAACCAACTCAAATAATCATGTCGTCTTTCCTTCAGACCTCTATAGATTACTGGCACCAACCTTGTGCCCCACTGTTGCTTCAAATATTTTATTGTTGCCTTCATATAATCACTGATCGGAACTGGCGCTAGAAGCTCCTTCATCTTATATGACAATCGATGCTCATAGCGTCAACAAGATACTGTATGAAATCACATACAAATTATTCATACAAACCTAAGATATTTCGTCTACATACAGGTCACAACACCAACATATTGGATGTATATAACTTAGTAGAAAAGGGTGGCGTGGCCTACCGGAAACAAAGACATGCAATAAGGAAATATAGAAGCAATAATAGTAGAGGTGGATATAGAAGCAGTATTGGTGTTAATCTGCTCAAAACTCCCAACACCCGGTGCGTCCAACCTGACAATTAAGTGCACACAAAAATGGTTTTGCTATCCCATAAATAAGACCAACAAAATTTAGCATCTTCATGGGAAAATACACCTATTTATATTTTTGGGGTTTCCTACAAAGAAAATCCTGGGAAGTACCTAAAAGAAGGTTAACATAGAGCTAACACTATATTAGTTGGAAAATCACAAATACATACAAACCAGACAATGAATGCATAGCGTCTGGGGACGAAACCACTACCAGATACATGGTATCGCATGACGTATGTGCCCTTCCTTTTGCCTGCAACATCTGGGAGCTGCATATACGCTTTCAGGTTTGTGCTAACTCTGCAAATTCAGAATATGCCCAAAGACATTGTAGATAGATTTAGTTCTTTGCGATCCAATATATTCAGGAAAGAACAGTTTTAGTTCAATACAGTAGGAATAAAAAAATTCAACCAATATACCATCAGCCTGCTTATGCGATCAACATTTAATTACTGGATTTCAACTTAAATAAATTCTTTGGAGATGATGTGCTAGCTATAAAGGGAATGACATTTGAGATGGTAAATTGAGTCAATCGAAAAACAAAAAGGAAGAAAAAAGTTGGTGTATTACAAATTTACATGTAGTTACGTTGCACACAAACTGAAAAATGACTTCATGATAAGATCACATAAGCATGTTGTAGTTAAACATGACGGAGATGCACATAGAAGATCTACGCAGTTCACCGGATGAAATAGTTGGGTGTTCTGCATAGGTGGATATGTCCGCAGTTGTACTATTTGAAACCAATGTAAATGTATTACACACTGAATGCAACTGAGTGAAAAAAAAAAGACAAAACTTAATTAGCAGTTGGTATCAGACTCCTTGCTCACGGTAGAGATAAAGGATGTGGTCTAGAATTTGAAACAGAAAATAATCAATAATCAATGTGCAATAATACCTTGCCTTACTAGCAACAGGCTCTAATATTAATGTGTAAGCACGAGAAAGTGAATAGATCAAATCTCTATAATGGTGACATTAGATGCAACATGCTTTATTAAGGATCGATCTGACTATTCAATGAAAGAATGAAAAACACAAATATTTTACCTTCAAACCGCACTATCATTTGTGACCAATTCTAGTAAGTAGATGGCAAGTTAGCAGAATACAACCATGGTAATAAGGGAATCGATGTAGATAATATCACATGTGCATTATTCTCCTTTGCCCAATGCCAAGCTGTGTTCTTGTCTATCTCACCACATGTTGCCACTGAACAAACCCTGGTGTTCGCATGAAGAAATGAGTTCCAAATACTCCCTCCGTTCCTAAATATAAGTCTTTTTAGACATTTCAACAAGGAACTACATACAGAGCAATATGAGTGAATCTACACTCTAAAATATGTCTATATACATCCATATGATGTAGTCCATTTGAAACCTCTAAAAAGACTTATATTTAGGAACGGAGGGAGTAAGAAATAAGGAGTAAAGCAGCTACATCACATCATTCTCTGATTTTATTTCCACAGCTACATATGAAGATGGTAGTATAATAGATATCCTGGTAATAACATGTGAGTAAGGGAAGATTCTATAAAAAAATAAACCAACAGATTCTATAGAAATGCACTTTGTTGTTCGGTGCAATCATGATATTTAGGAACTTTCTTTCATATGCACCAGAAACGACTTTCATAACAACATCAAGCAGGCCATGATAGAATATCAATACATAATTGTTATCTATATTACACAGCAGTGCATAGTTATACAAGTTTATAAAGCAGCAAATCATATGCGAAAATATCACAGATGAGAAACCTATCTACCAAACACCAATATCGAACTGCCAATTTCATATTCCATTTTAATGCCATTGATGCTACATTTGTATTAATATTTCAACATATTTAAAGGACCAAAGGTCCTTTAGGACTAACTGTTGCAAGAATAGAAGAGTTACACCCTGCTATTACGTTCAGCGGAGCCAAATAATGGTTGATTGAGCACAATCTCACTTCAAATTATGGTCTTAGCAGCATACAAGTTTGCTATGCCAAGATTAGTACCAATTTTGAAATAAAAACAAATTGTTGGGATCACAACAAAGTAAATTATGAAATAAAAAGAACAAGTGTCTAGCTTCTAATCAGTCGACTCTGAAAGCACCTGGTTGAGCTTCCATAATACCTGAACGAAGGACCTCTCAGTTCACGAGATAGAGAAACAATACATTGACTGGACTAAAACAACACAAACATTATTTCTTGACAGGACCAATAGTCTCTACCTCACCTTCACTTTTTTCAAATTCTTAATTTAATTACTTAGTCAATGAAAAAAGGCACATCTTGGTAAGCCATCAGAGCTTGGCAAATAAAAGAGGCATTCATCATAACAGAACACACTGATTCAAACACAAAACCAGCATATCTACATTGTAGCTATTTTATCATTCCAAGTAACAAAGTAGCTTCCTTGATAAATGCATGAAAACTAAAAAAGGGACTGGTGAAAGTCATCTTGGTTTAAATTAAATTAGAAATAGCTGCATGAAAGTATCTTTTGGTTGGCTCAGACAGGGAAAATATTAATCCAAAACAATTGTAAGAAAGATGCGGTTACCTTTAACTCGCCCAAGACAACTGACATAAAAAAGGGCCATCATGATGCAGGCCTCTGTAATCTACTGCCTCAATCCATTGTAAGGGTAAATTAATTTGTAAGACATATAGTACCATTATTGGTTTTAGTAGTCTTATTATTATGGTGCTAGACATCTGAACTGGCAAAAATCGGCTTCGCTACTCAGCACTCACTCGTTCATGCAATTGTGGCAGAATGTAATATGTCAGTGATTCCAATTCTTTTACATAATGGTTCAGATAAACATCTTCATTTGTGATAATTTGGAAGAAATTTGTTGAATCTCCCAAAAAAGACCAAAGAACAATGAAGAAAAAATGGGCTACAGTCATTAGAAAGTCAACAATATTGTAAAAATAGTCGATCCAGCGGGGCATCAAGCCTTACCTCTATTTGGAGCTCGTCAAGCAGGTGGCTTTGTTCCATGGCATGGACGAGATGATCCTGTACATCATCTACGCCCCTGATATTCTGCAGCATGAGAGAGTGATCAAGAGGTTGACCCGGTGCGGCGCATGGTGCTCACCTTGCAAGGGAAACCGAGGAGCATGCAGCCGCGTACCAAGAGCATGGTGCCAACGTGCGTGCTGGATGCCAAGAACTTACTCGGTAACGAGCTGCTGTTGTGGTGCCTGCAGCGGCCGTTCGTGGAATGGCTTCGTCCGCGGGGATTAGCGGCCGTGGCGGCCCCAGGGATCTGCGGCGGTAGCGGCGTGCGGAGTGCGGCGACTCCACACAAGCACGACCTGCATGGAGTCCTGACCTGCCTGAGGTTCCGCGATGGTGCCGTCGATGGCGGCGGCAGAGGCGGGGAACCCTAAACAAAATATTGAGGAAGGTCGCTCAGCGGCGGCGATCCCGTACCTCGGCTCGGCGGCTGCGATCCCGTACCTCATCCAGCGCGCTCCTCCAGCTCCGTGGTTAGGTCCAGCGGGCGATGCTATTGGACGGCATCGGCGTGTGGGGATCTGCAACGGCGGCAGCGTGTACGGATCCGCGTCAGCATCGGTGTCATGGGGATCGGCGGCGGCGGCGTCCTGGGGATTGGCGGAAGTGGCAGTGGCCTGGGGACAGGCAACGGCGTCGGCAGCGTCACTGGGGATCCGCGGTGACGGCGGCGGCGTGGACGTATAACCCTATTACTAATGTCGACAGGAGCGGCGTATCGTGCGGGGTGGTGTGGCGTATCATGCGTGGTGGGGTTTTTTTTGGGGCGGCTGATAGGCGCCGGCGTACCGGGCCAACTTTGAGTCGGTCGCATCAGGACCGCACGATAAAAAGCTTCCTAACCACATGATCTCCTCCCTCCCCTTCTACTCGTTCTTCCTCCTCGTATTTTTCATGAATGAGCACATGACCGGTATCGAAGCACCCCCCCTCCCCCTTCCCCCCCTCCGCGCTCGCCTGTCTCTGTCGGTCATCGCACTGGCCCCTGACGCTCGTTGTGAATCTCGTCCTCACATAGTCGTGTGTCTCGGCGCGCCATGAAAGAAATGATATAACAATTGAGAGCACCGATAGTAGCAAAACTCAAAACGGTTGTAGCAAAAAAATGAGTACACTTGTTCCACCAAACAAAAAAGACGGTAGCAATTTTTTGGTTGGTTCCAGCAATAAACAAACATGATGGTAGCAAAAATTGTACACTGCTTCTATCAAACAAAAACATGGTAGCAAAAAATTGAGGTGGTTCCAGCAAAAACAAAAACATGATAGAAAAAAATGTTGATTCCAGCAAAAAAATAAGACCATGGTAACAAAAATTGCGGCTGCTTCCAGTAAAAAAGACCCTCGCCAGATCTCTAGCACTTGACGCCGTGGTTTCAAGCGCCCTTGAACGCCGGTCGTTGCAGCTCTCCAGCACTTGGCGTCGTTGTCTCCAGCATCGGTGGGTGCTGGTTGCAGCACTTGTGGCCGTCGCCTCCAACTCTTGTGGCCATTGTCCCAGCGCCGCATACCTGTCGGTCCCAGCACGAGGCAGCGCCGTCGGATGCAGCTCAACCCATGGCCGGTTGCAGCTCCACCAAATCAGGTCTCCAGATCCCGCCGCCCCGACCCAGATGGAACTCCGGCAACCAAAGCTACGAATGTAGCCCCGGTGCT